CCTTCACTCCTGAACTGTTGGGATACAGAGGCTGTGGTTGAACCCAAGACTAAGATGTGCTGAGTTGCCAATTTGTGCCATATGTGTGTGCCTTCAGTAGTATATTAATCTTTAACGTAATTCAAATTGATAAGTTATGGCATAACACCAGCGACGTGAGCTCTTTGTAAAGAAAGGAAAACAAATGGGCAGCGTGTCTTGCCTCCCACTTAGGTATACGAATACATCATACATTAGTGTTTCAACCATACATGAATCAAGTGTTAAGCAAAAACGTGTAGCATATTTCTTCCTCCATTGTGAGCACTTCTGCAATACACGAAACGGGCTAAATTCCGAGTCTTGCTTCCTTCGCTGACGTCCCTCCACCAGCAGACTCTGGGTGGAAGAGCATAGATGATGAATGGATACCTCACTGGACCTCTTCTCCTGAAGCTTCGAAGCCCAGTTGGGAGTTACTACTTTTATTTATTTTTTATTGGGCACTCCCCTACATCATTGTGTAAGGTGAAGCGCAGAATCGTTTACAGCGCCCAACAGGGAAGCATGCTAAGTTCATGCTTCTTTTATGTCTCATGAGTTAAGGGCGTAGAAGCCTGAAGAGTCAGTGGTTTATGTCATCAAGTTATTGGAAGCTCCAACAACTTGTCCCTGAATACGAATTCGCAACGACAGGTACCTACTTTACTGCTAGGTGAACAGGGACTAATGGGGACTAGGAAGTATGTCCAAACAACTTCCACCGGCCCGGGAATCGAACCCGTGACATCTTGCTTGCCAGGCAAGAGCGATACCGCTTCTACCACCGGCCCCCCAAGTTACTACATTGTGGCTGGAAAGCAATGCCACTATGCTTAAGGAAGTTTTTTGCTGACCTCGCTAGAGGAAAGGTCAACGGCCGATTTAGCTCTCGGGGATTAACTGACAGTGCAACCATGGCTAATGTTAGTTGTGAGCAGTTCTGTGCCTCTTTGAAGGCTGAGGGAGAGAAGATCAAGGGCGAAACTTGAGGTTGAAGGAAGTGATTGGGAGGATGAAGGAAGAAGATACAAGGCAGGGAAAGTCTGTGTTGACCATCACACAGGCTAGTGGAGGGTTCTGGGGAGAGCAACTACCAAACTGGTGGTGAAAAAACACAACAAGGAAACGACAACAATTAAGTGTACTAACTTTTTTAGTCCTTTGGTTGACAAAGTGGACGGTAACATGGTCAAGAACAAGGCTGACAAGGAAGGTAAGAAAACCTTAATTGTTGGGGATTCTCAGGCAAGGAACCTTGGCCGAGCGTTCTGTAAAGACAAATAGGGGGAGAGTGCATGGCAGGTCCCTAATAATGTCAAGTGCCAGGCCTGTCACTAGGAGGAGGGATAACCAACTGGGTCACAGGAAGGGAGCCAAGTCAACTAGAAAGTTATCAGGGTCAAGTCTGATTCAAGAACAAAACTTATCTTATTTTTTATCTCCTCGATTACTTTGCCTTTAGGCTGCCTATGAAACTCAGGGCAGTCAAGTTTTATATGTCCTGGATTATGACAGTTGTGACAGATTGCATTTAACCAAGAGTTTTGTTACATTTAGTTTCGGGAAGAGATATAAATTTTTCCTTAGTTGCTCTACTTGGCTTTGAATATTTATGAGCCGATCTTTATCTATCAGCAGCTTGAGCCATCTGTAATGAACTGACAATAACCCTTTCTTTAAGGAACTTTCTTTGATCCAGATGACAAATGCTTAAAATTTGATCACTAACCATGAAATCACAGAAATCTTCAAAGGTTTTATTTGTGCTACTCAGTGAAACCCATCTAAGTATTGTTCTAGTCTAGACACTAACTGAACATAATTTTCATTGTCAGAAATTTGTTCCTCTCTATACTTGCGTCCCTACATCATCTACACTACACAGCTGACACTTTTCCGCTTCAGGGGGATCATCCTCCACCCGTCTCACATACTTCTTCAACATATTAATATGGATACAATAATCAACACAGTTATCATGACATTTTGTAACTGGGTATGGACCTTTCCACTGCATCGTCAATTTGTTGTGAAAGAAGGGGTAGATTTATAACCTCGTCTCCTACCTTCACCTTACGTAGGTGATATAACAAAGGTACCTAAACTATCCAACCAGGAGCAAACTCGTAGCAATGGTTTTAAAATAGACAAATTGCGATTTAGGCTCGAGATAGGTTAACACTGGTTTGGAAATAGAGTAGTAAATGAGTGGAACAAGTTACCAAACATCATCATTAACTCGAATACGCTGGGAAGCTTCAGATATAGGTTAGATGGATATATGAACAATAGGGGTTGGGTGTAAACGGGGCTGCCCACTATGGGTTAATACGCCCGCTGCAGTTTCCTCCATTCTCATGTTCATATTGAAGTATAAATTCCTCGAGGCAGTCTTAGCATGTGCAGTCGCTCAAAAAGTATCTGAAAATTGGGATCAGATAGATGTCAAAACAAACAATACAACCCCTGTTGTCTGGACACTGTTGTCTGGTCCTCTACCATATTTGCTTGAATTATTTTTGTTTTACCCTTATAACATGTGAATCAGTCAAGTAGAAGTTATTTTATGACCAAAAACTTTCGTAGAGGCTCGATCGGCGGCCATTTTCGTAAAAATCAATATGGCGGCAATCTAGACTTGATAGCTCTGGGCACTCCTGAAAATGATGAGTGGGACCCATGTGGACTGTAAAAAAAATGGCGCTTTTGTTCGTCGTGTAAATATCCAGGCGTATTCTAACCAATTCGCCCCAACCTAGTGCCATCACTTCACTCTCTGGCAAGTTATTTAAAGAGTTCACAACTCTCACTCTGAAATAGTTTGTCCTGACAACTTTCTGAACTTGCGGCTTCTTTAACCCTGTGACCTCTAGTGGGGCGGGCGTCCGCCAACTCCGGGGGTGAACACTCAACTGAGGTGTTTTTAAACATCTATTAAGTTAAAGCACAATAAACTTATAGAGATATTGGAAAAATATGCTTTAATGAACCAGATATTAGAATTTGAATGAATCTTTACTCGCAAAATGGAGGCACAGTGATAGTAAATAATGAACTTACTAACTGGTTCTGAGTAAGGCAGGGAGTAAGGCAAGGCTGTGTTCTGTCTCCAACATTGTATAATTCTTGATAGGAGAAGTTGTAACTGATAATGAAGGGCAAAACGTTAATGGTAAAGTTATTTCGCCCTCCTTTCTTAACCCACCTGAAGTTTGACCACCCCGACGCTAGCTTTGGGGAGCTAATCTTCAATAATCACCTGAAGATTGACCCCAACTTATCCCCCCTGAAGTTTAATCACCCCGACATAGAACAATGCAGAACAAGGTTATTAAAGTGGTATGGTTACAAAAGAATGCACCTCCACTCATCACTGTAAATGAAGGATGCTGGCAGAACCACTGCTTGTTAACAGGGAGAAGGGCAGCGTCTCTTGTCTGGACTATTTTCATGTAGCCAGTTGCTGGTTAAGTGCTTGTGTCGACGGTACTGAAGACGTTACAAGAGTGTAAGGTGCTCGTCCCCGATGATGTTTCAGTTTAGGAGGAAAAACAAGATTTAGCCTCTTTAAGATAATTCCTGGACCACCGAGCTGGGTGGTTTGCTTGACGATGCCTCGTACACACTTCTTGGGAAAACTATGGTACTCGATCAATAATTCCTCGGAAATATTTACATGTGGTGTTGCTTCGCATTCTCTCCACAGATATATTGCATGGACCCATTCCTGAAGTGTCACACATGGTACAAGGAATACAAATATCTGCTCCTTAATTAAAGGAAGCTGTGAATTTGTACTTGTGACAGCATTTCGCCCACGTCATCTGATTATGTCAACATTGATAATTTATTTCGCGTTTAAAAAGTCCGTGGTGTTTAAGCCTATTAATAACAAGCATAAATAAAAGATAAAATAATAATAATAAATAATAACTTGCACGGGAACCTCACACAACAAAGGGTCTACTGCTGTCTGAGTGACTAGTAAGTACTAGGGAAAACTGTTTTATTTAAATACTGTACTAACTCACACTGCAGATGAGAGGCGACAGTGAACCTCAGTAGTCGCCAGAAGATTACCTCCAGTACATCCCACCTGAAGTTTAACCACCCGGTCGCTACCTTGGGGGAGGTTAATCTTCAGGTGATCCATAAACGTTAAAACTGGCTCGATTACATGGCTCCTACCCCAACCTGCCTGAGGTTTTGTACAGGGTATAAGACGGTGTACAGTACTGTACTACCTTACCTGCCTGGGGCATCTTGTACAGGGTATAAGACGGTGTACAGTACTGTACTACCTCCACCTGCCTGGGGCATCTTATACAGGGTGTAGGACAGTGTACAGTATTGTACTACCTCACCTGTCTGCACGTGAGGGCTATCCCCGACTCTTTCATGACACACCGAAGTATTGTGGCCTCGTCAGTCAGCTTGTACTGTGGTTAATAAATCAGCCATACAGTAGGGAAGCTGTTAAATGGTTTGATTCCTTCACCAAGACAGTAAGTGTGTGGCGTGGTGCAGGTGATGGTGGGTGTACTTTAATGTTTGTCAACAACCTCACTCGGATAGAGACCCAACCTCCCTCCTCTGTCTCCTGACAAACACGAGTTAATGACCTCCAGTTATTAAGATGGTTTCAGATGCTCAACATTCAATCCTCAGTAAGGCTTCTGTCACAGGAGCAGCTATTTCTCGCGTGGCAAGAAAGAAAGGCTAGCGTGAAAAAGGCTTAAGATAGCATCAAGCAACACTGTTGTTGTATACGCTTATGTTACCCAGTATTGCCTTCCATGGCGTCATCAGCAACTTTGCTTTCAGTAAACTATCTAGGGCATAACACTCACTCGTAAAACGCCCTTCACTTACTACTAAGAAATGTGTTGTTGTTTCTTTTTTATCCACACCTAGGCGTAAATGACGCTCTTGTCTCTCCTAGAAGAAACAGCAACTCGCGGCTGGGAAGAGGAGAGAAGCCCAGTTCCTGGTAACCATATAAATACGAGCTGGCGACGCCGGCACGCTCAGTTGTGCCGATACCTGCGGTAGTGTGAGTTGCAGCCGCCGACGCTCTCTGCCCCCTCACAAACAGTTGAGTTTTTACCTTTTCTTCACCCGTGACAATGTTTGCTTATGTTTATAAGTGTTTATGTCAACTTACTACATGTAGTGTGGTGGCCGAGTGTGGGAGTGTTAACTCTGGCCACAGGGAGTTTCTGTTCCACTAACTTTACTTCCTGATCCAACATTATAATGACAACACTTGTTAACATAGTGTACTACAGCACGGTGTGGGGGCAGCTTCACTTTATATACTGTACTGGTAGTGTCACCATACAGTAAATGTTGTGGTCACATGCACACTGGGAGTGACACAGTGACGGTCACTATACACTCCTCTCCCACACTGACACTCACTCCTCTCCCACACTAACACTCACTCCTCTCCCACACTAACACTCACTCCTCTCCCACACTGACCTCCTCCTCTCCCACACTGACACTCCTCCTCTCCCACACTAACACTCCTCTCCTCTCCCACACTGACCCCTCCTCTCCCACTGACACTCCTCCTCTCCCACACTAACACCTCCTCCTCTCCCACACTGACCTCCTCTCCCACACTGACACTCCTCCTCTCCCCACTGCTCCTCCTCTCCCACACTAACACTCCTCCTCTCCCACACTGACCTCCTCTCCCACACTGACACCCTCACTCCTCTCCCCACCTGCTCCTCTCTCTCCCACTAACACTCCCTCCTCTCCCACACACTGGCCTCCTCCTCTCCCACCTCTAACACTCCTCCTCTCCACACTGACACTCCTCCTCTCCCCACACTAACCTCCTCCTCCCACACTGACACTCACTCTCTCCCCACACTGACCTCCTCTCCCACACTAACACTCACTCCTCTCCCACACTGACACTCCTCCTCTCCCACACTAACACTCACTCCTCTCCCACACTGACACTCCTCCTCTCCCACACTGACACTCCTCTCCACACTAACACTCACTCCTCTCCCACACTGACACTCCTCCTCTCCCACACTAACACTCACTCCTCTCCCACACTGACACTCCTCTCCCACACTAACACTCACTCCTCTCCCATACTGACACTCACTCCTCTCCCACACTGACACTCCTCTCCCACACTAACACTCCTCCTCTCCCACACTGACACTCACTCCTCTCCCACACTAACACTCACTCCTCCCACACTGACCTCACTCCTCTCCCACACTGACACTCCTCTCCCACACTGACACTCACTCCTCTCCACACTGACACTCCCCACACTAACACTCACTCCTCTCCCACACTAACACTCACTCCTCTCCCACACTGACACTCACTCCTCTCCCACACTAACACTCACTCCTCCCACACTGACCTCCTCTCCCACACTAACACTCACTCTTCTCCCACACTGACACTCACTCCTCTCCCACACCTAACACTCCTCCTCCCACACTGACACTCCTCTCCCACACTGACCTCCTCTCCCACACTGCACTCCTCTCCCACACTAACACTCCCTCCTCTCCCCCACACTAACACTCACTCCTCTCCCACATAACACTCCTCCTCTCCCACACACTGACCTCACTCCTCTCCCACACTAACACTCACTCCTCCCACACTAACACTCCTCCTCTCCCACACTGACCTCCTCCTCTCCCACACTGACACTCACTCCTCTCCCACACTAACACTCACTCTCTCCCACTAACACTCTCCTCCCACACTGACACTCCTCTCACACAACACTCACTCTCTCCCCCACTAACACTCCTCCTCTCTCCCACACTGACACTCACTCCTCCCCCACACTTTCCTCCTCTCCCACACTGACACTCACTCCCTCCCCCACACTTTCACTCCTCTCACACTAACACTCCTCCTCTCCCACACTGACACTCACTCCTCTCCCACACTAACACTCCCCTCTCTCCCCACACTGACACTCCTCCTCTCCCACACTGACACTCACTCTCTCCCACACTGACACTCTTCTCCCACACTGACACTCACTCCTCTCCCACACTAACACTCACTCTCCTCTCCCACACTGACCTCACTCCTCTCCCACTAACACTCACTCCTCTCCCACACTGACACTCCTCTCCCACACTAACACTCACTCTTCTCCCACACTAACACTCACTCCTCTCCCACACTGACACTCACTCCTCTCCCACACTTTCCTCCTCTCACACTGACACTCCTCCTCTCCACACTTTCCTCCTCTCCCACACTGACACTCACTCCTCTCCCCACACTTTCCTCCTCTCCCACACTAACACTCACTCTTCTCCCCACACCAACACTCACTCCTCTCCCACACTGACACCCACTCCTCTCCCACACTTTCCTCCTCTCCCACACTGACACTCCTCCTCTCCACACTTTCACTCCTCTCCCACACTGACCTCTCCTCTCCCACACTGACCTCACTCCTCTCCCACACTTTCCTCCTCTCCCCACACTAACACTCACTCTTCTCCCACACTAACACTCCTCCTCTCCCACACTGACACCCCTCCTCTCCCACTTTCACTCCTCTCCACACTGACACTCACTCCTCTCCCACACTTTCCTCCTCTCCCCACACTTTCCTCCTCTCCACACTGACACTCCTCTCTCCCACACTGACACTCACTCCTCTCCCACACTTTCACTCTCTCCCACACTAACACTCACTCTTCTCCCCACACTAACACTCACTCCTCTCTCCCACACTGACACCCACTCCTCTCCCACACTTTCACTCCTCTCCCACACTGACACTCACTCCTCTCCACACTTTCACTCCTCTCCCACACTAACACTCCTCTTCTCCCACACTACACTCCTCCTCTCCCACACTGACACCTACTCCTCTCCCACACTTTCCCTCCTCTCCCACACTGACACTCACTCCTCTACCACACTTTCACTCCTCTCCCACACTGACACTCCTCTCTCCCACACTTTCCTCCTCTCCCACACTAACACTCCTCTCCCACACTTTCCTCCTCTCCCACACTGACACTCCTCCTCTCCCACACTTTCCTCCTCTCCCCACTCCTCCTCTCCCACACTTTTCCTCCTCTCCCACACTGACCTCCTCCTCTCCCACACTTTCACTCCTCTCCCACACTGACACTCCTCCTCTCCCACACTTTCACTCCTCTCCCACACTGGCCTCACTCCTCTCCCACACTAACCTCCTCTCCCATACTTTCACTCCTCTCCCACACTGACACTCCTCCTCTCCCACACTTTCCTCCTCTCCCACACTGACACTCCTCCTCTCCCACACTTTCACTCCTCTCCCACACTGACCTCTCTCCCACACTGGCCTCCTCCTCTCCCACACTTTCCTCCTCTCCCACACTGACACTCCTCCTCTCCCACACTTTCACTCCTCTCCCACACTGACACTCCTCCTCTCCCACACTTTCCTCCTCTCCCACACCTGACACTCCTCCTCTCCCACACTTTCCTCTCTCTCCCACACTCACTCCTCTCCCACACTTTCCTCCTCTCCCTGACATGCCATATACATTTACACGTTAAAATTGGACATGACTAGGAGTGTTTTCTCTCTCTCTCTCTCTCTCTCTCTCTCTCTCTCTCTCTCTCTCTCTCTCTGCCAACAAACCTGCGAAACATTATGCCAAGGGCAAGGGGCTATTCAACCTTCAGTCTCCATGCTGCAGATGTAGTGAGGTAGATGTAGCGTGAGGAAGATGTAGTGTGAGGAAGGTGTAGTGTGAGGAAGATGTAGTGTGAGGAAGATGTAATGTGAGGAAGGTGTAGTGTGAGGAAGGTAGTAGTGTGGAGGAGATGTAGTGTGAGGAGAAGATGTAGTGTGAGGAAGGTGTAGTGTGAGGAAGATGTAGTGTGAGAGGAGATGTATTGAGGAAGATGGAGTGTGAGAAGATGTAGTGTGAGGTGTAGTGTGAGAATGTGGTGAGGAAGGTGTAGTGTGAAATGTAGTGTGAGATATGTGTGAGTGTAGTGTGAGAAGGTGTGTGTGAGGTGAGTGTGAGGAGAATGTAGTGTGAGATGTAGTGTGAGATGTGGTGTGAGAGGTGGGAAGTGTGTGAGAAGGTGTAGTGTGAGAAGATGTAGTGTGAGGAAGGTGTAGTGTGAGGAAGATGAGTGTGAGGAAGTGTAGTGTGAGAAGGTGTAGTGTGAGATGTAGTGTGAGAGGTGTAGTGTGAGGAAGATGTAGTGTGAGAAGGTGGAGTGTGAGATGTAGTGTGAGGAAGATGTAGTGTGAGGAAGATGTAGTGTGAGAAGATGTAGTGTGGGAGATGTAGTGTGGTAGGTGTGAGGAAGATGTAGTGTGAGGAAGATGTGGTGTGAGATGTGGTGTGACGAAGATGTAGTGTGAGAAGATGTAGTGTGAGGTAGATGTAGTGTGAGAGATGTAGTGTGAGGAAGATGTGGTGTGTGAGAGAGATGTAGTGTGAGGGAGATGTAGTGTGAGAGGTGTAGTGTGAGGAAGATGTAGTGTGAGAAGATGTAGTGTGAGGAAGATGTAGTGTGAGAAGATGTGTGTGAGGTAGATGTGTGGGAAGTGTGAGGAAGATGTAGTGTGAGGAAGATGTAGTGTGGGAAGATGTGTGTGAGGAAGAGTGTGTGAGTGTGACGAGGTGTAGTGTGAGAATGTAGTGTGAGGAAAATGTAGTGTGAGGAAGATGTGTGGATGGTGTCAGGGGATGGTGAGAGATGGTCCATCTGTATTATACTGGTCCCTGAACTTTTTGTTGCTACCGCACACACACACACACCTGCCGCCTTCTCACAGACACACACACACACACCCTGCCACGCCTGTCACACACACACACACTCTTTCAATAAACCGTTAATTAGTATTATTATTATACACACACACACACACACACACACACACACACACACGCCTTCCTCACACACACACACACCTGCACAGCCCTCACACACACACACACACACACACACACACACACACACACACACACACACACACACACACACACACACACACATATGTATGTCACGCCTTCTAACACACACACACACACACACACACACACACACACACACACACA